TGTTAAATGAGATTATACACTCACTAGACATTTGGGTCTAACGCTCAGTTGTTGGACTAACTTGTTTTGCAGGTCAGCGTACTTTGAAAGATAAAGGCAAGGAAAAAGTCTGATTGATGATATTAGTTTATGTGCATATGTATTAAAGATACATTTTGTTAGTTCATGTTTCGTAACAATACTATTATGAGTATTATGAGTATGATGATGTGAATTATGTGCATTTGAGATGTAAGGGTTGTTACATAAACTTTAATCATATTCGTTACCATCTTAAAGATCTTTCATATACAAAACCATAGCATCAAGAATCGCTCAAATTGGAGTATAAATGAAGAAGTTATGGTGAAAATGAGAAAACCCCCAATTTTCGGTCTCTTTTTGTGCAGGTCAGACCTTTATGCTAGTTTCACCGCTAGTTTAAACTAGCATGGAAACTAGCCCAAGAATTTCAGTGTCTGGTGCTATAGGGATGGTGATTTGCCTCGACCCGGTGGGGAACCCGGTTCACTAGACCCGAACTGGGACGGGGATTCCCCGCTAAAACGGGTCCCGGGGCCGGGGATCCCGGTTAGACTCAAACCGGGGATGGGGGATGTTACTCAAACCAAGGCCGGGGATCTCCGGTAGAATCAAACTAAAGGATACTATTTATGGGGATTGACCGGGGTTTTGACCAGGGACTGCTAGAGATTTGACCGGAAACGGGATGATAATCCCCGTACTCGTCGGGAACCGGGGCCGGGCGATGCTACTACAAATCGGGGCCGGGGATTACAAAAACGGTCTCATCCACGCCCCGTTGCCATGCCTATGGTGCTAATTTCACCACTAGTTTAAACTAGCATGGAAACTAGCCCAAGAATTTCAGTGTCTAGTGCTAGTTTTACGCTAGTTTAAACTATCACTGAAAGTAGCTCGAGCCCAAAAATGTCTAGCGCTAGTTTTAAAGTGAGTTTAATTCACTTGACAACTAGCTTGACACTGTATTGCGTTTTTAAGCTGATTTGCGACCTCTTAAGTAATCAAACTTGCATCGACGGTCTCTTAATTTCTCGGATGACCTCCAACACAATTTTTCTTCATCCTAAATCTACCATGACTCTTGATTCAGAAGTCACGAACATTCAATAACAGATGGACATTGACTGGCTTGCTAAAACAAATCTACACTCTTGAACAATTAGCCGTAAAAACACGGGTGTTACATTCTCCCTTTAGGACCGACTGCAACAGGTTAGCTAGAGAGCGATATTCATATTTTATAGCTTGTTACTTAGGCACAAAACCTTAACAGCCTTTGACATATGAACAAAAGTAACGAAACTACCTCTCTATCTTTCGCATACCCATGCGAGAAATTATCCGATGCTTCACGGTTAAAGCTGCAAATGTTGACCGGATGAAGAGTTAAGATCACTTCTTTATTTCTCAAACATTTACCACTTCTCAAATGAACCTTTACCTATATATGTATATATATATATATATATATATATACATATATATATATAGAGAGAGAGAGAGAAGATCTTTTGTTAACTAAGAATATGATGTTAACTTTGTAAACTTATTGGACCAATAAGATTCATTATTTAGTATAGATTATTTTAAATGTTTGATTTAATGATTAATGCATAGGTTATTTTTATGTGTAAGTTACTTTTATGATATTTAATGACATGTTAAAAACTTTTATGTGTAAGTTACTTTTATGATATTTAATGATGTTTATAGGTGTTCATAAGAATGTGTTCATAACCATAAGACGTTCATAAGATTGTGTTTATAAAATATGATGTTCATAGGTGTTCAATAAGATTTTTCATAAGTGTTCATATGTTATGATCTCTTCTGAAATACCCCTGTTCTAGAATGTTCACCAATGTTTATTTTTGTTCACATTTACATTTATTACAAATATGCTATGATTTAATCCATAGAATTCGAGGAAGATCAAGATTGGTTCACATAGTTAACATCAATTATTGGGGTTACAAATGAACCAAGCGCTATATATAGACATATATGGTGGTAGTTTTGTCTTTTTAAGAAAATGAGACTGTGAAAGGAATTTAATTCCTTCTCCCTTGTAATGGAATGACCAAAATGGTTAAATATATAGAATTCAATTTTATTATTTATATAAACCAAAAACGGAATTTGGTTAATCTACCTGACCATTCCAATTCATTTAGATTTCATCTGAATCCCGCGAACTAAAAGCCCCTATAGGAGAGATAAATCATTTTTTTTTTGTTATTTTCACCAATAAGAGTAATTGTAATTAAGTACATAAAATATATGAATAATATTTTATTAATTATATTGAATATTTTAATAACATAATTGATGTTGTAATTTTCAAAATTAAAATAAATTGTTGCAACAACGACCACCTCATCTCCATAAAAGAAAACTCCTCTACCACTCCAAGTTCTCTCTCATAGCAACGACCACAAAGTACCAACACCATCTTCAGTGAGTCCAGATTTATGTAGCAATGATTTCTCACGCCCCTCATGATATGAGCTCTAATTTGAGCAACTATTTGGTGTTCATCATCATTGAGAGACGGAGAGAGACACGGATCCAAATGGGTTTTTATTCGATTTTACATATTTGCTTAGGGTTTTAATTTCATGGATAGATATGTATGAATTTGTTTAGGGGTTAGATTTTGTTAATGGATTTGTATAAGATTGATCTCAAAATCTATATTTGTTTAGGGTTTTAACTTCTCGAGATGTCTATGTTCTTAATATTTGGGTTTGTAGGTACGTGTTTGCTAATAAGTAGCCGAAGATAGGGAACTGTGGTTGCGGAATGTGGTCAGCGACGACGAAAAGTGGTCGGAGATGGTGGATTAGTGAAGATGAGAGAGAGATGTTGGGTTTTATTTTAATTGCTTTTACATACTTGTACATATGCATTGTACACTTGTACATCAAAGACTAAAAAGACAAAAGCACAAAAAAGGTAAAAGGACATATCTGCCCTTCATGTTAGGGGGCATGCGATGAATGGTATTAACTTGGGAAATGATTTTGGGTTCTGAAATACGAAATAAGGATAACTGATTTACACCAATAATTTATTTAATATGATCTATTAAAAAAAATTGTATCTTAATTAAAAAATTTAAAATCATTTATATTTTAGCCAGGGTTTTTGATGTCCTGTACGAAAATGCTAAAAAATATCACATGTTTGTTTTTTAAGAAAATGGAACGATGAAAAATGCAATTTAATAAAGAGTTTGGAACCTAATTAAGCTAGGTGGCTAATCCCTGTGCTAATTTTTATTAATTATAATAAAAAATATAAAAGAGAGGCCATAAAAACCAAAACCCTGAATTACAAATTATAGAATGATAAAAGGATAAAAGTACTGCTTCCTTCTTTTTGGATTTTTCTTTTTCCAAGTTAAAATTAGCATAATTGAACCTTTACTTCAATTTATGGAACTTAAAAGATAGAGAAAACTATAATTAGTTTTACCTAAAATCGTAAATTACATTTAGTTAGTATCATAATAAGCAAAAAATAAAACTCAGAAAGTTACAATTCTAAAAACTAAAGTATAAATTTAATGTGGTAATGCAAAAACCTAAAAGTAAACAAAAGTAAAAGAACAATGATACATTATAAAATTCATAACCTATGCTACTGTGCATTGCAAAGAACAAGTACCCAATATGGCAATATCACAATATATTGTTCTGTAGTGTTCTCCAACTGTGTTGATACCTCATGTGCATTGCAAATTTTAATATGCAAGCAAGACTCATCATCGAAAAAGATATGTTCATGTTCGTTTATTAAATAAACGAACTTCCTGCTGTACGGTTCACGAACAAGTCGTTGAATGCTCGGTTCGTTTACAATCCTATGCAATACTCATTATCAAAAAGACAAATGCCACTTAGGCCTTAGCCCAATAAGTAAGTAACCCACATGACAACATATGACACAACTATATAATAATCAATTATGAATTCAGAATTTTTTTTCCCTAAAAAGGAATTAAAGATTCATAAATCATAGTATGACTCACACAGTAACTCAATAAGCTCAATCAACAATAGAAATTTTGTTCGTTATTTCCATGTAGTTAAAGCCCATCTGTCAAATTCTCAAATTATTAAACCCAAAACTAGTAATTGATGATAACTTGATACCCCTTAGGCTTTAATGCCCAGTACAGTCGCACGAGTTGTACGTAGCTAGGGCCGACCCTGATTAAAAAGTTTATGGTAATTAATTAAATATTATAATTTGTTATATTTTAAACATAATAATAATATATTTATATTATTATGGTAATAATTCTAATAAAAAATAATCTAAAATCAAGAAAAATGATGCTTCATGTTTTAAGAATGATAGAATTTTTAATCATTTAAATAAAGATATAATTAGAATAAAGTAAAAAATAATTTCTGAATTTATTGAAACGTTACTTTAAAAAATCAGTTTACCAAATAGTTTATGGGTGTTTAGAATTGCTTATTTGAAACAACTTATTTTTTTAGAAAGTACTTATCAACTTATTATAAGTCAGAAGAGTTCAATTTTTTCAAAAACTTTTTATTATCGGTTTGACACCAATATAAGTTGTTTATCCAAATATTCAAAAGTGTTTATAATCAATGTCACATCAAAATAAATAAATAAGTTATTTTTATGAACAATCTCAAACACCCCGTAACAAAATAAGCATAAAATTTTCAATAAATTAAAAAAAAACTATTTTATGGTGGTCGAACATGACACAAATTTAACTTGGGTTTATTTGAATAAAACATATTTCATCTGTGGTGGAAATCAAAAATTGGAATACCTCAGGGACTGTTACAGCACTTTCTTGAAATGCAAACAACAACCAAAGTGGATGGAGTTTGCATAATTACAAAAAGCACCCCAAAGAAAAACTAATGGTCAATAATAGCCCCTCAGCCGTATTACATCGGGCCGCCGCTAGTATATCACCAGCTCTCGACCTTTTTTTCCCCTCAAACCCTAGTCTCGGTCTACTAAATTATCGTTCAAATTCGCTTCAAAAGGCAAGTTTAATTTTCGATTTCATCATTAGTTCGTCGCTTAATTATCGTGATTATCGTTACGTACACTGAAATTGATTCAATTTTGAAGCTCAGTTGATATTTATGGCGGGTGGGGCAGATGTTACGGAGAGTGGTTTATCATGTGCTAAATGCGGGAAGCCTGCTCATCTTCAGTACGTTTATGTATTTTTATACGTTTTTTAAATTCTCCTGCATTAAGTTACTTGAATTCGTTCAATATATATTCAATGTGCTCACTTTTTCCAGATAAAAAATGCACTTCGACTTTGGGTGTTCATCAGATTACTTTTCAACATTGAAATTCATATAGCTAAAAAGCACTACTGATTGTAAATCGAAATGACTAGATTTGCCATAAAAAGATCAGAACGTTTTTCATCTTATCTTGACAAAAGAAGGACCAGTTTTGAATTATGTACTACTTTACATTCAAGAAAAAACTTTGGGTTGGTAGTTGGTGCCTCTAAGCTTCTAGGCAATTAGGTGACTGTTTTTGCTGAAGGATGAAGTTGAAGCCTTTTAGGGTTGCTGATTAAATGTCATTTACACTGCCCACATGGGGGTAAAGTATTGAGATGCATTTATGATATATGGGTTATATCATGGCAATCAGATTTCCATTAGTGAGGCGTCATACCATCCATTAGCTTGGTTGTGTGCATTTGCAAGAATCAAGTGAAGGAACTTATTGTGACAGGATACCTTAAGGAGGAGTGTTATGTTTGGTGATATAAAATGGATATTGCTTTACCACATCCCTGTGAGGCAAAAACTGGAACTTTTGCACTGATAACGGATATATGTGCCATTGCTTTGGTACTTATAAGCAGCCTTTCACATTATGCAATGGTCAACGGAATCTTAACTGCTGTGGCTTGGTTAGCGCGGCCTACTGTAATGAAGATAAGAATCTCAGAGTTCTTGTACTTGTTAATTGTTATTGCACGTTAATCTATGAAATCTTGAACTAGCTGGTATTGATCAAATGCAGAAGCCTCTGACTGGTTCAGAAAAAGTTGGAAAGTAGGGTTAATTTGTAGCTACAATGCTAGCAAATGGCATATCATAGTAAGATGCATTTTAGGAATGTTGTTGGGGAAATTCATGATGGATTATGTAACATGTTGTCTTTTTATTGTCCAGTGTTGGTGCTAAATTTATTGAATCTTCATGTTGTGCTTCTTCTACAGCCCTTTAATGGACTATATTGTTCCTTATATGGCTGAGCATTAGCTTTGTCTTTGCTATTCAATGCTGGTACAGTCACTGATGCTGCTTAGATGGGGATATAATAAAGCTTAAGCTATATTTTTTCTTAAGATCTATTCTGAGCTTGTCGAGCCATATGAGATAGCTAGTACATAAGCAGATGAGCTGTAGAACTATCTCCTTGTATTGAATAATTCATTTTCTTAACAAAGGGTGTCCTCAGTGCTGTGCACGTACTACCATGATTGCAATGTTACAGCTACAATGATATAAAGTCCACCGTAATATCTGAGTGACATATATCAGTCTTTTATAGTATTTTCACTAGTGAGTACTGTCATGTTGGTTTCGGAATAGAACATATGGACAATGCTCATTTCTGACGCTGCTGAGGTCACCAGTAAATTGATAGTTTTGAGTATGAGCAAGATCAGCCTGATGCTGCATATTTAAAATTATTCTCTAATATGTTGTTCTTGAATTGTAAAAAAGTAACATTGTGGGAAAAATGCATATATAACTGAAGTATTAATTAGCTTTTGGTTTCAAATAACCATCGTTGTGCGGTACCACATCCGTTTTCTTGCGCGTTACCACTTCACATTCAAATAATGAGTGAAAGACAAGGAGATTGGATCTAAAAAGTGTGAAGTAATTATTTCAGTTGCTTTTCTTTTCAATACTTTTTTATCGTAACCTTTTTATCCCTTTAACTTATTTCTAGGTGTCCCAAGTGTGTTGAGTTGAAACTTCCCCGTGAAGGTGCTGCTTTCTGGTTTGTTACTGTTCTGCCTTATTTTATTATTAATACTGGTGGTTAAGCTGAAGTTTGAGGGCCTCAATTCACTTTAGTTGTCATCAAACTTTATTCTAACTGCTAGTCTATTTAGAATTCACTTGATATATATTTTTTGTGTTATGCTGCTGAAGATATGTTTGACATAAGAAATAAAGTAATTGTTACTCTTAATAGTACTCAGGAATGTTTTAAGGCATCATGGAGCTCTCACAAATCAGTTCATTTGAAGGCAAAGTTATCATCAGTTGGATCAAGCGCTCCATGGGAGCATAATATAGCCTCACCAAGTGATGGGTGGCTTTATTGTTTGAGGAAAGGACAGTCTCGAACAGCACAAATTCCTCATTTTGACTGGACAGGGTATTGTTTCAGACGAAGCTTCTTTTTCTTTGTATCACAGTTGTAGGTATTATATGTTATGGGTAACAAACCTAATGGTAGGCATGAGTAGAGTAAACTCATCATGGTTTGACTACTGGAGTTGGAATTAGGAACTCATTGCTTCTTACTATTTGAGCATCATCTGCTATGTATTGCAGGTTAAGTAACAGGATCTTGTTTATGTTAAAAACTGCATTAGGATGAAACATATACCACATTTTGAGATACGTATACCTATTACTCGATTACTAATCAGAATACGGAACATTCTCTATAAGTAAATAATATTTGTTTACATTTAAATTGTTATATACATGAAATGTTTAGCATCCAGAGATACCTACACATGTCACTGGATGACTAGGACAATGGCATCATTCTCTGAAAATCGATGATTATCTATTTTCATCATTTGGTAATATAAGACCAAATTAAAAGTCAATTTATGACCCATTTGGATCTTTATTTTGTGTGAACTGTGAAGTAGATTTGAAAGGAGTTAGTTTTTTGAATATAATATGATAGCTTTTTATTGTTATACTGCTTCTTGAGTTATGCTCGCTTTTCTGTCTTTATCTAAATGGTCTTTTTGCTTTTTCTTTTTTTAATATTTTTATTTTATTTTTCTGCAGACCATTAAGGCCATATCCCATATCAAAAAAGCGGGTAATACCTTCAGGCATTGAGCTACCTGATTGGGCAGTTGATGTGAGTTTTTGAGCTCATGAGTGCATTTTGCTTTAAGATTCTTCTTTCTTTGTCCTTAATAGGCACTTCGTGAACATTGATGCATCCTTAGATATATACATATATTTCATTGAATTTGTTTGCAAGCAGCTTTTATTCATTTGATGTAGCTTTCTGATGATATTAACCATGTAACTTTGCAGGGAACTCCAAAAGTCGAACCCAATAGTGATCTGCAACATGTCGTCGAGGTAGCCTTGTATTTTTATATTCACGTTGGAGAACTTCTCTTTATTCGTAGGTGTGATCTAATGCTATTATTAAATGATTTTGTTTCTGAAGATAAAAACTCCAGAGCAAATCAAGAGAATGAGAGAAACTAGCCGAGTAAGTTCCTTTTACAGTTGTATTGATTTCTTTTGCCAATTCAATTTCACTCTTTGTTGAATGAATGGCCCCAACATTAATATATCAAAACTAGTTTGAGTGCCAAGCACTTAATTGGGTTATTGGCTATTAAGTGGGCACATTAGTTCTGAGTTAATTATAGAATAGAAATGGTATAAAAATAGATCTTTAATTTTGTTCCTATAAATAAATGCATTTATGAGAATCTACATACCAAATAATAGTTTCAATCATTAATTATAACTAATATCTTATGATAGTTAATTTCATAATTGACAAAGCAATTAATAAATTACAGTAGAAATAGTTATTAACAAATTAACTAACTAAAAGATTTTAATTCTACTATATGAGTAAGTACATCCAATTCTTTTTTGTCTTTTGTTTTTCTCTGAACTGGAGTCTAGCTCATTCTTTCTTGATCTATAGTCCAACATTAGGTCATTAAAGAGGCGGCTCAATGTATTGGTGACAGTTGGTACAAATTGACACATGTTTGTCATCGTTTGCTGTAGTCCTGTCATCATGTCGGCATTTTCATTCGAACATCATTGCTTTTCGTCGTACAGATTGTCAATCTACCACTCACAAAAATTGATCCCGTCCAATCAAACCATATCTTGCTTTATATGCTTGATAGCTGATTACCACTTACCAGGCCATTCAAATTCTTTTAGGCCAATTACCGTAAATCAGGATTGTTGACAACCCGTCCCTGCTTAGGCAGCTGCCTGATCTGACTTTACTGTTAAGAGAAAGAAATTTCTGTGCAAAGTATTTTATTATAAAAGAGTTGTCTATGCTTTAAATATGCCTGGAACATGGAACATCCAATAGTTTAGCTTGGAAGAGATCGCGGATAAGAAAAGCAATTCTTTCTGATTTTGTTGATAAATTTGAATCAATCAAAGCCTTAGAAACAAGATGCCTTTTCTATATCTTTTAAGGCTAGCTGTATTAATATCTGGCATAACAAACTTTATCAATTGCCATAAGATGCTAATTTATATCTGCACGAGCCGATGGTGGTGAGTGATTGCTTCCATATGAGTGACAGACCTGAAGCTCATCAAGATCCCACTGGAGGTTTGAGGTAAAGTTAACTACTGAATGAAGTCAACTCCTTAACTGGATGGAAGATCTCTAAATCAACAAACTGTTGCATTTAGAGACATTTGTGGGGATAGGGTGAAAGTAGGATGGACTGAAGAATCATCATGCGGCTGTTTAGATTTGTTTCCTGCTGATTATAAATCACATTCCACAGATAGCAAGGGAAGTTTTGGATGCAGCTGCTCGTGCTGTGCGCCCTGGTGTGACTACCGATGAAATTGATGCTGTGGTCCATGAAGCAACCATTGCTGCTGGTATGTGAACTTTTCCTACTCCATCCGTTCTCCGTTAGTCCTCCTTTGACTTCAACAAAAGTATACTTATTATTTATTTTTCTACTTTCTTTAATACCTTCTTTTTGTCTTTATAATACTTCTTGAACGTGATATAGTTATTGATCTAAAAAAGGGAACCGTATTCGTATTAACTCTCAGATTGAATGTAGTTTGCTTGACATTCAAAGTCAAAGTAGGACAATTAATAGCGAACATATGGCTTTGAGCCTGGAGCTCAACTCTTGCATTCAAGTCTATATATGCAATTGCAAATAGCAGTTATACTGATTAGATTTTTTCATGATAACTCACTGCAGGAGCATATCCCTCTCCACTGAATTATCATTTCTTCCCAAAGTCATGCTGCACGTAGGTACTTCTGTATACTCGCATTCTCTATCTGTTGTTGCCTAGTTTCTTTTCTTTAACATGAGTGCTCGTGTCCCTAGGTCCGTCAATGAAGTAATCTGCCATGGGATTCCAGATGGAAGGTATCTAATATGTATCCTAGAAGTGCTGGAAATTTGATATCTTGATATTAGTTCTTATGACCACATTCTAAATCTAAGATTATTTTCTTTCTTCTTGTTCTCTTGATTTTGATTTGATCTCCATCCATGATATAATGGGATATATCAAGATTCAAGAAATTGTGATATGTGGTACTTGGTATTTAATTTCACTGAATTTGGTGGATGTGTAATTATTACTTGCAGGAAATTAGAAGATGGAGATATCGTCAATGTTGATGTAACTGTTTATTATAAAGGGGTCCATGGTGAGGAGCTTTATCTGCTTTCATTTCTGAATATCTTTGCATATGTCGGTTTTCAAATGGACAAACCAACAAACTGGACAGCATGCAGAATCAGCAACATGCAGTCCTATTCTTGGTTCCTATATTTTAGAAAATCTGGTTCTTGGTTTGTTCCAGACCAAACTGGTTAAAAGCGAAACTGGCCTCGATTTTATATAATTAAACTCTTGACAGAACAAAATATCTGTTGGTTCTATTTTTTACCTCCAAATCTGGGTTTCTGTGCAGTGTGGTTTTGTTCTGATTCAATTTGGATCTGAAGCAATGCTATGATATTGTTAAGAATGGTCTATGCAGTTGATAACACAGATTACTTGTTGACTTTGCAGGTGATCTTAATGAAACATTTTTTGTTGGTAATGTTGATGAGGCATCTCTACAACTAGTCAAATGTACTTATGAGTGCTTGGAAAAAGCAATAGCTATCGGTATGTATTTCTACCTTGTGTGTAATTCATAATGTAGAAGTCCTGAAGTAGTTCATAAATATAATTTGGATGAACTGGTGATCACCGTTTCACTACTAACTCTTGTCAAACTTTCCACCATTTTTTTCCTCTCAATTTTTTTTCAAAACCCATTTACATGCTGGGGGTTTTCATGGAAATAGTTTCCTTACTCCTCTGGGTGGAGGTAAGATCTTTGTACATCCTACCCTCCCCAGACCCTACTTTGTGTGGGATTTACTGATTCATTTGGTTATGACTGTGAATTCATCATTATCATAGTTTAATTGTTAATGGACTGGTTTTTATGGTCTTTGTCAACGCTACTTTATCTTGTCTTTGTTTATAATTCTTTGGCGCTTCTTTTCTTATTAATCTAGTGAAACCTGGAGTACGCTACCGTGAAATTGGGGAAATTGTAAATCGACATGCTACCATGTCAGGATTATCTGTGGTAATTTATACAACTCTATAATTCGCCCTTTTGATTAATCTCTTCCCCTCTTCTGTTTGCATTGGTTCCAACATTTATTCTTCAAAATTCAGGTGAAATCCTATTGTGGGCATGGTATTGGAGAGCTCTTCCATTGTGCACCAAACATACCCCATTATGCGAGTATCCTAAATATAGCCTTCTATTTTGCAATGAACTCTTAAAAATGTGTGTGTGGAGAGGAATAGCATCATTTAGGTTGGCATTTGGTACGTGAGACATGGCAGGACAAAACTTGCTGTCCCGCGTTTAGTGTAACATTAAGACCGGGAAATGACATGATTAAGTACGACAAAAATGCATTTTTTTCATCTCACCAAAACAAAAATCAGGGAGATAAGACAATATTTGTAAATTACTAAACTACCCATGTCAAATTAAAACCCCAAAACCTTGCACAATTCTTTAACTTGCTTACCTCACTCTCGCCCGTCCAATCCTGTGTACCAAACGCACCCTTGCAACATGATAAAAAGCCAACTCCTCTTTTCTGCTGGTTGATATTTTGCTTATTGCCATGGCGACCTTAACTTGAAGTAGGAAATAAAGCAGTTGGTGTGATGAAAGCTGGTCAGACCTTTACTATTGAACCTATGATAAATACAGGTGATTTGAGCACTATTTGAATAATAATTTTACTACTGGTTTCCCTATTTGTCTCTACTATAGTTCAACACTTTGATATAGGCGTCTGGCGTGATAAGATGTGGCCTGATGGTTGGACTGCTGTCACCGCAGATGGCAAGCGCAGTGCTCAGTTCGAACATACTCTCTTGGTACTCTTCATATAAAGTGCATCCTATAATGTCGTGCTTACTTGTTCTATGATTACTATGTGCTTGTCTTTGTGCCTTCTATCTGTTTGCTTACACTTCTGCACATGGAAACCGCTGCTCTACTCCTTGGGGAGGTTCAAACGAGAACACCTTAAATTTATGAAAATGTGAGAACACTCATATCACATGTGATTCTGTATGGGGGACGACATAGTGTGCGCGCACGACCTAGGTCACCTGTGTCCATGTGTGCATCTCCAGTTTATCACATGTGATGGTTGCCTGTTTCAGGTTTTTAGGTGTTCTCGTTTTCATCGTAAAATGGTACCATTCTCGTTTGAACCCTTCCACACACACACACACACATATATATATATATAGTGGGAGGTTCTAATGAGAAGGCTAAACATGGTGAGACAGTGTGAAGAGAAGGTTCGTATGTAAATCATTGAAAAAATCTGAAAAAATATGCATATGTGAACCTACATTCATATTATTCATATGGGTCCATATGCTGCTGCTTCAAATGGAATTTATAATAATACACATATGAACCTTCTTTTCGCACCTTCTCACCATATTTAGCGTCCTCATTTTGAACCTTCCCCTATATCATGTATTTATATATAGGGGAATAATCAAATGAGAACCCCATATATAATTAGAACCGTCAGAACTTTTACCTTAAAGTATTGTTTCACATGATTCTTTTCATACAAGGCTAGGGTTTTTAGTGTATCGATTGACATATATTTGTCTCACAATGTGTTAGTTTCACATGTTTTTGTTTCAAAATGTGAAACTGTTTTTAAGTGTCTTTTGTTTCAGAGACACGTAAAAATTTCATTGTAAGAATAAATACTTGTTATCCAAACACTTTATGAAACAAATAGCCATGGATGAAAAAAATTCATGTAAAATAACACATGATGCATTGGTTCTTATGGTGTGTCACCTTTTTCTGGTTCGTACATGATTAGCCTAATATATTGGTTAATTGCATCATCTTCCCCCTCAAACTATTTCTTGTATGTGATACAACCTCCTAGTGGACCCCACGTGTTGTGTGATGTCACCATTCATCATAAAGGATGTCTCTTCAATACCATTTGACATCCTGTCCCACACACTTAGAGATTGATGTTTATGAGCTCCTTACAAGCCTAAACTCTAAGCTACCAATAACTTCCACATGATATAAAGGTTATTTGTTAACTTGGACTTAAGGCTTGGGGTGTTGCCTACCACTACCCCATTAATAGCCTCTAATTGAAGCGCCAAGCCACACATGTGAAACAATCCGATTTCACATCATCTGTAAAATTCATGAATCCAAAATTTACGTGGTACCCCCAAACTCTTACCTCTGTGTGGGGGATTAACTGTGTTTGTTTGGTTGCATGAGATAGTGGAATAATCTGGGTTTGTTTGGTCTTTGTGGGATATACTGGGTTCATTTGGTCTGAGTGGGATATACCAGGTTTGTTTGGTTTGGTTTGGTTTGGTTTGGTTTGGTTATTCCCCTAGACTCTACTATGTGTGTGTGATATACAGGGTTCGTTTGGTTTGCGTCTATATTGTGTATGTTTGGTCTGTGTGGGATATACTTGGGTTCGTTTGGTCTGTGTGGGATATACTTGGGCTCGTTTGGTCTGTGTGGGATATATTTGGGTTCGTTTGGTCTGATTATGATTTCAAAATTTGTGGTATCGTGCAGGTAACTGAGACCGGAGTGGAAGTTCTTACGGCACGACTGCCCACCTCTCCGAAGGTGTTCCCATGGCTAAACTAGTTGTCATCGATAAACATAATATTCTTAAGGATGGTTGAATCCTACATAGGAAAATGGTAATTATGAATTGTATCATTTTCGGATTTTAAGCAAAAACAATGGGAAAGGAGAGAATTTTGAGTGACTTGACCTTGGTATGAATAATGGTAGAAAGGAGGTAATTGAGAATTTTGGCTTCAAATGTCTCACTTGTTTGTGTTGGTTTGGCTTTATTTTGGTCACCTAATGTTTTATCATAGGTGCCTTTTACCAAATGTTTACCCGGGTAAGTGCTTACCAAGTCAATTTACTTTACTGGATGAATATGGCAAAGACTAAAAATCTTACCCGGTAAGAGCGAAAGCAATAATCTCGAGTCTTACCCGGTAAGTGAGGACAAGGACTCTTACCATGGTTAGTGTTTACTGGGATAAATTGTTGCATACGATGCGTTTTAGTGAATAAAATATTGCCTGGTAAGTAAGCGATAGTGTTGAATTTTACCAGTAAGTGCTTATCGGGTAAGTGTATAGGTAAACGGTCCATAGTCTTTGAAATTATTTCATGCACACTCTTTGTCAATGTTTATAAATGTCCGTTTTTCTTTTTAGTTTTATGCTTTTATTCTTTTTTTTTTTGGACATGTATTAACTATAAAATTTCATGGAATATCTCTTAACACTTGGGGAATCTTGCTCTCAGACCTTAGACTGGGGAGGCTTAGTTTCAACAAAAATCAAATAACTCGTGTCGTGTTATGATGTCAAGCTTTGGGTTCGTCATCACGTTAATCTCTATGTAATGGATCCTGGTTGGCCAGAACCAGATCTGAAATGTAACAGGGCCTAGCCCAACGGGTGGGGCAGGGTTCGTAATCGGTTACATTCGGCCTATACCTGGCTTCGGTAACCAGTTAAGGTAGCAGGGCCTGAAGGCCCAAACAGTTTATTAGTATGATACATCATTTATGTTTTAATTTATAATTTAATAATTATATTTATATATAATAAAAAAAGTTATGAACTTAAAAAAAATCGAGCCTTCATATCCGGTTAGACTCGGTTATGCCAATTATGAATGGTTATACCAATTACAAATGATTGCTTTCTTTTTGTTACGTAACTAGTTATAACCTCGATCGGTTTAGTTGGTTATATCATCCGATATAACCGGGCAGGGTCGTCCATGCGGAGGGCGGCACGGGCACACTCCCAAGGCTCAAAAATATCAGGGGCCCAAATTTTTTCCTAAAAATACAATTTCTGCTTCTATTGACTATTGTTATTTGGTTATGTTGTTCTAATTGTTTTTATTAACTATTATTATCTATTGTTGCTTCTACATAAAATATTTTACTATTGTTTGACAATCAATTTATTGTTCTTATGATTTATGACGTGTTTCATGGTTTTGTGATTAATCAATAAATTTTTTTCTACTAGATGTATTTAGTAATGTCTCTTATATATGTCATGTTCCATAAGATTTTAATCTTAACATCTTATCTTATTTTAGTCGGGTAAAAAAGTAAGGAAAATATAATTTAAATATTTTCATCAATTGTTTGAATTATGTATATTTCATTGATATTCCACCACACCACAAGATTCTATTTAAGTACTCAAACAATAATTTGTTGAACTTGCACATTATATGTATAATTCATTATTTATTCTTATTGGATCTCAATGAATCATTTTTCTTTCATATTTTTATTGATCCTCATTTATCTACTTCTTTAGAAAACTTTGATAATCTTTTTTATTATTGATCTGTCATTGACCCCCACGATTACTTCATTCACACGAATTCTCTTTTTGTATCAAAATAACACATATTTTGTGTTATGAACTAAAAAAATTCTTACTTTTTATAAAAATTTATCAACAATAGTTTTCTATACTCTTGGTTTCAAATTGTCTAATAAGAAAGACGTAAATTTAAATACTCTCTTATATATCTATAATAAAAATAAATAAGATTTCTTTCCTTAGTAAATTTTTAGCATTTCTCATACTCAATTTTATACTAATGAAAAACATTTATTGACCTATTTTTTCTACTTACCGAGGGTCACTACACGAAAAGTGAGCTTTGACGATGCGTCTTTTAGCGATGACAAAATTCGTTGCTAAAAGTCTTGTTTCTTCCACTGGGTCCTGTTTTTACGTTCGTCCAGAGCCTATAAAATGTGAGCAACGGGCCTATAACCGGATGAGGTTATTACTAGTTAAAAGTCCGCCCGATTATTCGATTCGCCTCTTTTTAATGACCAAAGAAGATGCATAACAAATAAGTGCATTTAGGGGCTCTTTACCCAAATGCTTATCCAATAAGTGCTTATTGATATGAGTCAACACTATAATTTATTTTGATGCTTGAGATTTTAGTACATCAAAACGCATCGAATGCAACAATTTACCGGGTAAGTGCTTACCTGGGTAAGAGTCGCCATCTTCACTTACCGGCATGGATGGACCTACCATGGTGGTTACGGTGGCACGTGCCACAATATTATTTCTCCGTCGAAGGGTAAAATAGTTTAGGTTCGTGAAAGGTGCAACCGTATTAATCTGTTGTGTGCCACCGTATGTATTTTGAAACTACAATGAGAACAAGTTTTATTTAGTAGAGTTGGTTTGCAAGGCTTTTATTCCACCCCAGACCCAAGTTCGAATCTTGCTAGTGTCATTTTCTAAGTCAAATAGTGCCATCGATTGAAAAAAATTCCATATATCTGTTTCTTATAGTCAAACGGTGCTACTGTTTGAAAAAATTTCCCTATAGTTTTTTCTTATAGTCAATTGGTGCCACCATTTGAAAAAAATTATGGGTCCGTCTCTGCTTACCGGGTAAGACTCTCCATCCTTCTCATCTCTCTTATTCGGTAAGATTTTTGACCCTTGTCAGATTCATCCGATGAGGAAATTTATCCGATAAGCACTTACCAAGTAAGCGTTTAGTAAACGGCCCTTAGACACAAAGTACCTAGTAAAAATTCTTCATAATTTGCATTCTGGTGCAAATATAAACATTTCTTCCAATTCACCATTTACAAATCTAAGTACAGATTTATAGACTTACTTTTGACTGGTCAACATATGGGTTCAAATATTACTGCTGAAAAATGTTATATTAGAATAATTAATGATATACCATCAAAATGTTGAATTGTAACACATAAATATACAAGTGATGTTCAACTTTTTGGTGACAATTTATAATTTTTTTATAAACATTTAGTTAAAGTAAATATTTGTTTAGATAAAGAGTATCGTTTTAAAGATATTTGTATACGATAAATGAACTCAAACATCCTCTTATCTGAGAAGCTCGACTCTACCAATAATTCAGATACCGCTAGGCCAAAGGCCTTTTGTTTAGATATGTCTAAGTTCATACATTATTTCTTACAAGGGAATGTTTGGGTCAACTCAACCCGATTCAATCCACAAAATACCTATCATATCTATTCATTCGGCAAAAATAACTACAAAACGAGAATCGAATGTGCACAAACAAAGATCTATAACGATTTCAAAATCCAGCGGATCCTACTAACGACGAGTATGATTCGTTTTCATCATCAGCTCTAGGTTTCCGCTCCGATGCTTTACCTGATATCTGTGAGCGATGCATTAGAAGTTGTTCTGCATCTAAATTGGCTAAACCACATAATTTCAACTTTTGGTGTTTCGCTTCCTCCATGTCACCTTCCCAGCAACATTCGGACACTATTTCAAGAGCGTTCTCTAGATTTTCCTCGGCCACAAGGTCCCCGTTTTGGATAAGAACCAGATAAACTTGTTCAGCACACGCTTTTCGAATCTGCCAAGGAGAATGGTCCAAGAAGTTCATTAGGAAGCATCTTAAGTGTGCATTTGCCATTTGATACGTGGAACAAAAAGAGACAGGACAATACAAAAACTTGTCCCATGTTTGGCGATATGACAGACAGGAGGTCCTGAGTGGGACACAAATGCTGGTTTTTTTGTCCCACAAAAATAGGTAGAACCAAAATCAGGGAGTTAGAACATGATTGACAAATTACTAAAGTCAAATTAAAACCCTAAAACCTTCGAGAATTCTTTCATCCACCTACCTCACTCTCGCCAGTTCAGTCCACTCCTGCTCGCATACAAAACGCACCCAAAACGGTTCTCATTCGCTATGTTTGCATCCACAAAATTCTTTAATTTGTGGTTCTTTTTAGATATGTGACAAATATCTAACATTTTACTTGGGAGCCGTTTACCAAACCCTTACACAGTAAGCACTTACCGGATTACTTATCTTACCGGATGAACATATGGCAAGGACCAATATCACCCAGCAAGAGCGATGGCAAGGACCGAGAGTCTTACCCTGTAAATGAGGGCGACAACTCTTATCCAGTGAGCGCTTACCGGGTAAATTCTTGCATACTAAATGGACTGAACTTTTAGCCGGGAAGGTAAGTGAGAGCCTTGACTCTTACCGATTAAGCGTCTGGGTAAAAGGCCCCTTACTTAAAACTATGAATAGTATCCAAGGGCAAGGAAGTTGGGTCAGGCAGAGGCGGATTTAGCTAATGCCTAAGGGGTGCGCATCTATGGTTCCATCAAAATGAAAAACTATAGGGGTCTTACAAATTATACCCGCTTTAATTTTTTGTGTGATCGTCTAAGTTAACAAAAAGTGGTTGCAGCCTACTCTATAGTGTCATTGCATGTGGTATTATAGGTTGCAGGTTTGAATCACTTGTATGTCACTTTAAATGAAACCCCACTTTTTATAATTAATATTATTTTATATTGAGCTAGTTAACCTCCGTAACATCCAACAAGTAGAGCCTTATGTCGGTCATATAGAACACCAACACATAGAAAAAGGGCTGAAGTATTTTGTACAGCCGCTTGGAATTTTTTTGGATCTGCCTCTAGGGTCAGGATATTCATTTTCCTAGGATAAATTTCATTGAAGGAACAAAAATGGTGCAAGGATTCACATAACATACCTTGGGATATCGATGGGTAAGAAAAGAGAGAAGATGAGAGAAAGCCTGGATATTGATTGGCTCCAAAATTGAAGCAATGTATCCGAGTATTGCAATTCCAGCATATAACTTGGAGAAGTCCTTTGTTCCTTTCAACTCGGTAGTCAAAGACTCCAAAACACCCGCACAAAATACTTGAGTCTCAGCCTGGAAATTGTTATTTGTTAGGAGCATAATCATACTTTTAAGTAATTAGCTACAAGCTCTTTCTCCAAAGGGTTCTACTTGTTTAGGCCAGTAATTTGATTTCAATGGTAAGAGGAAATTGATATGAGACCAACATACTGGTAATGATGTATGTAAACATCAAACAAACCAAACGAGCCCATTATAATCCCAACTGGAAATAGGGTCTGGGATAGTAGGGTCTGGGATGTATGCAGGCTTATCCTTTTCTCCCATAGAGTAGAGCGCTTGTTTTTCTCTCTTTCATACTTTTAGAACCAATTTTTCATGCGAAATCCTTTCTCTAAATCCTTTAACAAATCAAGGGTCTTCATGGAAACAACCTCTACTCCTTTGGATAGAGGTCAAGTTTGCTTACCTCCTACCCTCCCCAAACCACATGTAGGACTCTTTGGGCTTGTTTGGTTAGTAAAGAGCCGGTTTCCGTGAAACCCCCCAGCTTGCAAAAAAATGCGCGCAAAAAGGTTTATACACGCGAGTTTCAAAAAGCTTGCCAAAAGTATGAAAAAGAAAGAAATATGCAAGTAAATAATGTAAATGAACAAATTTTCAGCATGAAAGAAGGGTAAAACTTTGGAAGTTTCATATGTACAGCAGATGTAATAAAAAACCGCCGTAAATGTTAACAAAATTTTACCAGGAGAACTCATAATTAGGTATGTAGCATAACTTGTACTAAGGCTATATTTGGCAAACTAGTTGAAAAGCTAGTTGATCAACTTATCACGTAGGGCATAAACCAGCTAATAAGCTAATTGAGAAATGTAAATGACCAAAAAAAGACATGTTAAAAGAACTGTCAGTTCTAATAATAATAATATACAAATAATTAATATGATTAATAATAATTCAAAATAATTAACAAATAATATTAATTAATATATTATAATTAATATGAATTTGCCGACTAAATCTATTGAATAATGAAATAATCACGATATAAAAATAATTAATATGATCAATAACAATTCAAAATATTTAATAATCAACAATTAACTATTAACATTAATATTAATTAAGAATTAATAATAATTAATGACAATTGATAATAATCATGAGTATAATTGGAAGGTGGCAAAAAACTTCTGGGCTTATTGAAACACAGCACAAAGTAGCATTTCAATAAGCTAGCTTATGTTTACCAAACATGACCTAAAAGGTAATCATCAACACACATACAACTATAGGAAATTACCCAAAAGAAACTCAAAACACTTCAAAAGGGATGTGAACTAACCTCCATGTGTAAGAAGATCCTTTTGCTGAAGAGAATCTCTATAGTCTAAAAACAGAGACATAATTATAATTAGGATTCGGTGTTATTCGTAGAACTCGAAAATTTGGTAAACTGATACCTTTAAGGTGGGAATTATGACTCTATCGCGTCTTTTGTACTTTTGGAGAACCCAAAGGATGTCATTAGATAAACTGACTTCTCTGGCGTTCATTTCACTCTCATCTATAACTTTAATAGCTTGAAGATACTCTAACAAAGCACCAAGTGCAACCTTTTTCAAAGAATCTTCTAATCCACCGATGGAAATGACTAATCCCGACATAACATATTTACTGTAACAACTAAACTGAAGCAACTGCACAAAGCGAGGGAAAGAAAAACTGGGAACCTGCAGGGAAGGACACCCGAATTTCCTAGTCAATACAAGATATGACTAACATCAAACGAAACCAATATATCCCACACAGAGGTAGGGTCTTTGGGGGGATGTACGTAGACCTTGCCTCTACCCCAAAGGGTAGAGATATGGCTACATCAAACAAAACCAGTATATCCCACACAAAGGTATATACGTGGACCTTTCCCCTACCCAAAGGGTAGAGGGGGGTTATTTAGCTAAATGACCTCCTGACAAGTGCTTTATATCCATGACCTTCTAATTGGTTTCTAACATTCTTGGATACGGGAGTGGCATTGACGTTCTCAACCTGTCAGAAGATCATGGATTTAAAAAAAACCCCTGTAAGAAGGTCACTCAACCAGAGGACCGGGTAGAGAGGCTGTTTCCATGAAGATTCTTGGCTTGCAAAATAAAAGGCAAAAATACAAGGAGACGGGTGAGAGAAGTAGCATAGTAATATAGCAAAAATATAAGATATGACTACATCAATAAAGCAGAAACAACCTACTAGCACTTACCACCAACTTCAATTCAGCTTCCTTGGGAACAATTTTCGCTAGTGTTTCCCTATAAGGTATTAGAGGAACGAAAACAGCTTCAGTGTATAAAATCCTTTGTAGAACTTTTGCAGCCACTTCTCTTAACCTGTCCATCTTTTCTACCGCTTGTTTCACAATGCCTCCAACTAAGTTGGTTGCAATATTAGCATCAAAGAGTGACTGCTTTTGATAATCCTCTGCCACAGATTCATTTCCGACTAATTGATCTCTCTTGCATAAGATATATGTACATTTCTCAAGGCCATCCATGGCGGCTGTGCGAACCCAAGAGCCCACATCACCTCTGTTATCGACAGAGTAATCTTCCAAAGCATTGAACAAACTCTGCATCACCTCGGTTTTTATCATAACAAAAAGAGATATTTTCTCATCTGGTTGTAAGGCAGAACAATCTCTCGTGGCAGTTAAGGTTTCACACACCAATACAAGTCCTTTAACAGCATTTACCCTCGCTTCAGCATCCCTATCTTCTGGGTTATCCTAGTTGGGACAAATAATGTTGTCATCTGAGATATTCATCCTCTAATTCCTATTAGCAGGGAATTTTTTTAATACTCCCTAAGTCCCAAAATAAATGTCCACAATGAAAAGGAACAGTTCTAGAAATGTGTAGCTATTACACTTTTTAATAGAGTAATGAATTTCTTCATCTCATAATTAAGAGTAGAATTAGAAAGTAGGCCATTACTTTTGAAAGTTGGACACTTATTTTGGGATAAATTAAAATAGATATGTGGACAGTTATTTTGGGACGGAGGGTGTAAAATTTACCTCGATTGCACAAGACCTGCAAAGTTTTTGAAGCACCATCTTCCACCTTGTAGCAAGAAACTCAAAAGGCAAAACTCCTATTGCCAATGCAGATCCTCTTCTAACAGCTACATTCGCATCAGTCAGCTGCTCCAGGTACTTTAGGGTAATATCATAAGTCCCTTTATCATCCGTCTTTGCAAAATATGTTGAAACAAAATGTTTGAATCCTTGATTGGCAGCATTCTGCTCGTATTAGGAATAACAAGAAAAATATCAGGAGTTAAACTTGTAAAAATAGTTGGCACAAAAGGTGAAACCAAACGAACCCACACATCCCACCCAGAGGTGGGTTCGGCGGAGGGTAAGATGTAATTGTAAGCAGACCTGACAGGTCTACCCCAAGAAGTAAAAAGCAGTTGACGAAAAAGGTTCTAGACAGAATTACCTGTATTTGACCATTAGGATGTCTCAAGTTCTCGTTAAGAGTATCAAGCAGACTCCTCTTTATTCTTTCTGTCAAAGTAATGTTTACAATAGATATGCACTCAATGAACCGGGAAACTGCAGCACGCATTATCTCTCCACCTTTTCCACGATACAATCTCGCTTTTTCAATAGCAGGGACTACACCAGCAACAACTTTCTGCTTATCTGCAATTAGAAATTTGAACAGAAACATAACTCCATTTGGACATGAAAAACTGTCAAATTATAATATATTCTGTTGGATAAGTACTAGACTTATTATATATCTGAATAAGTAGTATTATCTACTCATAGTTTGTTGTTTGGTTCCTAGAATAAAGGAAGTAGTTATAAATTTCTGATCTAGTTGATGTTTAAATAGGAGTTGTAATCCTGATATTGGAAGGGTGAAATTGAAATCAGATTATTTTTTCTCTCAAAAATTGACATGGTATCAAAGCTGCAACTCTGAATCATATCAACCCATCTCAAAAATTGTAATCCTCTGGGATAGCTCACAGTTCAACTTTCACAAGACGAACAACTCAGCCTCCACAGTCCAGATATGATGGTTCTCTGTCTAAAGTAATGGGAATAAGTTCCACAATTTTAACAAAGGATATGAAACTTCACTTTCATGTGTCATCTATTACCTGTAGTCTGCTCAGTCAGCAAATTAAATCATGACTTAAATTGTATAACTCAATTTTCTCCAAATTTTCGTGAATTTCAGTAAACACTTTCGAGGAGGGCGATTGGTAGTGCTAGGCTATGCTCCGAAATTTACATCCTCCAGTCACATCTACAAGAACCAATTCAAATTTGTTTCAGCTATTTTCAGCTTCTAATTCCACATCCGGATCTAATCATCATTTTTTAAATTCTAGTGTCGATAATGTTAGTGATGTTATGGCCCTACCAATTGTAAGCACTATTCATGGTGTGGGATACCTCATGTTACTATTCTCCCTTTGTGTGTGTGTGTGTGTGTGTGTTATCATTTGGTTTACAAGGGTCCCAAGATTCAAAACCTACTGCTTAATGCATGAATCTTGACTAGAGCATAAGATAATATGGCCAGTCAGCCAAGAAAGTTGGTAACAATGTGCAATGGTGACATTATGAGAGTGATGAAGAATAGAAATCGAGAACAGAAATTAACACAGAAAAGTTAAATTGGGAAGGAAGGTTATTCGATTAATACTCAACGAAAACGAAGAACA